TAATGTTATAAAACAAAGTATATGTGAATATTGGTTAAAATTCAATAAAAAAGAAATTAAAAAAGAAGATGGAAGATATACACAGAGTCACTGCAACAAAAAGAGTTGGTTAGCAGTGAACAATTTCAGAAAGTAGTATATTATTCACAACTAATACAACAGAAGGGAAGATGTACAAACTGCACTGAAAACATTGGGGGAAAATATAAGACCCCAGGAATTGACGGACTACCAATTAACATGTTTCAGCAAACAAATGCAGCCCTGGATGTGCTCATCAGTCTATGACAACAAATTTGCAAGATTGGACAATTAACTGCAAGAGATTTGTATTTGTTCTCATTCCAAAAATAGGTGATACAATGGACTGTGGAAATTATTGAACAAGATCATTAACATCACATTCAAGCAAATATTAATGAGGATTATTAAAAAACAGCTAGAGAAGTACATCAACATGAAACTTCAAGAAATTAAAGCTGGATTCAGAAGAGTTCATGGCATAAGGGATATCATAGCTGATGGCAGTCCTGTGAATCTTTGTGGAAAGCAAAGAATGCCAGAAATAAAGTTGCGTGTGATTTATGAACAGGCATGTGGCTGTGTATATCACAATAATTATGGCTAAATCTAAGAAGAATGGAAATCTTAGAACTTAACTGTGTTCATGTGAATCTTGGAAATTTTTTTGTTTTCAATTTTACATTGATTTGCATACAAAGTTCATATATACTGTGTTTCACACCATCCTTCATTTACACTGGGTTTCATACAATCATTCTCATTCACTAAGCTTTATAAAATCAATCACCATTGAACTGTGCTCACCATTATCCTGTCTCTCCAGACCCCCACTGGATCTTTCCCATTTTCTTTAGCCCTTCTTCCACTCATGTGAATCTTACATCTCGACCAAGATGCATTTGTCCTAACAAAACAAAGGCACACTGAAGGATTTAAAGCCAGGAAAGTTGTGCATCTAAGTTATAGCTTTTCTCCAGACTTATTCAATCTGTATACTAAGCAAATTATTGTAGGAGCTGGACTATATAAAGGAGAATATGACATCAGAATTAGATGAAAAACTCATCAAACCTCTGTGTTATGCAAATGACACAACCTTGCTTGCAGAAAGTAAAGACGACTTGAAGCACTTACTGCAGAAGGTTAAGCACTTGATCAAGAGGATTAAGATGAGGACTTGAGGGACTTACTATAGCCTTCAATATTGGTTAAATCTCAACATCAAGAAAAGAAAAATAATAATCTGTTGACCAATAGGTAACATCGTGACAGATCAAATAAAGATTGAAGTTGTCAAAGATTTCTTGTTACTTTGAATACAACAACAACCACGGTAGTAGAAGTCAAGAAATCAAAAGACATGTTGCATTGGAAAAGTTTGCTGTCAAGCACTTCTCCAAAGTTCTAAAGAGAAAGGATGCCAGTTTTGTGCTGTTGATGAAAATTCCTCCCCCCCTTATGGAGTTAGTGGATTCTGCTTCCCCTCACACCTGCTACACTGATTACTCGTGATCTTCATTTTATTTATAAAGTAGAAAGCAAGATTGACATTTATATGTATGTTGTTGTTATTATGTGCTGTTGAGTCGCGACTCATAGCCACCCTAAACCCTGCTCTGTCCTGTGCCAACCTCATTGTCTCCAACACACTCACTCCCACTACCCCAATCACTGAATTGATCCATCTCATCAAGGGTCTTCCTCTACTGTACCACCCTCCCAAACTTGACTCCAAGGACTGGTCCCTCTTTGCAACATGACCAAAGTATGTCAGACGAAGCTTCAGAATCTTTGCCTCCAAGGAGCAGACCATTTTCACCTTCTCCAGGACAAACCTGTTTGTTTTCATAGCAGTCCATGGTATATTCAACACTCTTCTCAAGCACCACAGCTCAAAGGCATCAATTCTCTTTCTATTATCCCTAGTCACTGTCCAGCTTTCTGACATATAGGACACAATTGTGAAAACTGTGGTTTGGATCAGGTGCACCTTAGTCTCCAGCTCTCTGAAGCATAGTGTGCAATATGGTTAAGGACTTAATTACTACAAAAAACACATTACCAAAAAAACCCTGGAACCTTGATAATATCTTCTATCTAACTATATGGTCTGATGGATCTGGGGAGCTCTGGTGGCCTACTGTCAAGGAGTTGGCTGCCAACCCACAGGCACAATTTGAGTCCACTAACTGCTTGATGGGAGAAAAATGAACTATTTCCTTCCATGTGATTTGAAGCATCTGAAAACCTGCTGGGGAGTTTATTGTAAGTCATTTCCAACTCAACGGCATACAACAACAAAAACAACAAAAAACACCAATAACCATATGATCATCCCTGGTCCATTTCTTGGTCTCTTCATAATAGTAATTATTATTCAATATTCAATAACTATTATTTTATAGAATTACATTTACATGTATTCTTTTAAAAGTTTATTTTTGAGCTTTTACTCTTACAAAAGGGTATATACGCAGATTCAAAGTTAAACTCATTGAATTGATTCTGACTCATAGTGACCTGAAATCTGGTTTCTGATGCTATAACTCTTTTTTTTTCTCCAACATATATTTATTTGTACTTTTGGCCATCCATGGGATGTTCAGTACTCTTCTCCAACACCAGAGGTCAAATGCATCAGATTCTGCGAAAAGGACTTTATGTACAGTAACGTGTGAAATTCATCCACCAACCCTTTGAGGAATGTGTCATGTTTACTGCTTCCCCATTTTATAGATGAGAAAACTGAGGCACACAGCATTGAAGTAGTTTTTCAGAGCTTGAAATTGGTAAAAGCATGGCTGAAGATAGAACTGCTGAGTTCTCTTGCCTTCTGTTAGGCCCTGCTTATGTCTTGTCCAACGCTATAACTCTTTATGGAAGGACTCTACCCATCTTTCTCCTACAGAGAAACTTTTGGATTTAAATCTCCAATCATTTTGTTGGCATTGCAACACAGAGCAAACTAGTTATGTAATCTTTAGATATTGTTATCATCTAATGTTACGTTGCTGAGTTTTCCTCATATTGTTGTATGTTTCTCTGGTTTGTTTATATTGGTATACACTTGTACATGACTATTTTTATCCACTGTACTTTTTTTATCCACTTTATTTTTATATTCCTGGTACAAATATTTATTCACTCAACTGTTCATAGTATAAGGGTTGTTCACCTCCTTTTTTTTCCTTTTTTGCCTGTGAATATCCCTGCTTTTGTATTTTATGTATACCAAAAGTTCATTTGGCATACATTATTTATATAATAAGAAATATCAATTTTTATTACATTTCTTCTATTGTATCTATGTAATAATGTCTGTCTACATCTTCTTTTAAAGAAGTACAATTAACACAATATTTGCCAGTTTAACATTTGTCACTTGCACAATTCAGTGAAAATAATATCAATTATGTTTTTCAGGTTCTATTCTTCAGAATCATAAAAGGAAAACTTTTTTCTTTCTTTTTTTAAAAGTTCAAAACAAAAAGATTTACTTCTCCAGGAATTTTTAGCATTTACTGCAGAAATAAGAAATTGAAGAGAGACTAAAATATAAAGAAGATATGTCAAAGAATTGGGTGAAAGATAAGAATGTTCTGACCTAAGGAAGTGATGGGTGGAGGCAGATGCTGTATTGTCATCATCAGAGCTCCAAGCAACTGAGTTCATTGGTCATCTACATCAGGAACACACAAATTCAAGGAGATACATTCATCAGAGGAAGGAGAAAGGAAGAACAAAGTTAAAAGCATAGGAGAATTTAATAAACATCTGAAAGTCGGATAATGTATAAGAATTGTTGCTTTTGTGTTGTGGTGTTGAAGAAGAGTATTAGATATCCCGTGGACTACCCAAAGTACAAACAGATATGTCTTGGGCAAAATTTAGCTTGAGTGCTCCTTACAGGGAAAGGAAAAAGCCCAACAAAAGATGTGTGCAGATACTAGAGCAAGGTAAATGAAGGAAGTCTCAATATTTACAGAAAAGATGGAGTCTTACTCCATGAAGTTTGAACTATCTCACAGTAAAGACCCAAAAAGGGTCAAGTGACAGACAGCATTTTATAGAATTCATGAGACATTCTTTATAATTTGAACAGAGTTGACCAGTGGGGCTCTTGCTTCCTAGGTATGTTGCTGACACGCTGTGTTTTGTTAGGGATTTAGAAAGAGTCTAAGCTAGTGCATAGGAAAAAAATAAGCCCTATGGCCTCTGAGCTCTTTGTGTGGGTAAACGTTTCAAGAATGGCAAGCCAGTTAACATGTCCAAGGTATTTATTAAAATTCTGTTTCCTGAAATAAAATTTGCAGGGGATATAATTCAACTGAAAGGATAAAACGAAATCGCCCCCCAAGCAGGGTCCAGGCTCACCGTGACCCTAAAAATAGAAAGATTGAACAATAAAATGGTCTACACTGAGCAGGCAACTTCCTCCTTATTTCTCTCCCTCAAATGTTTTCCGGGCTCGACTTCTATGACACCAAATAGGACAGAAATACCTAACATTTAAATGGGTGGACTAAGGAAAACAACTGGAGCCACAAAACGGTTGTGTGAAATCACATAGAATTGCATGAGATGAGTAGAGACACAGCTCATTGCTTCCACTGAGTCCCAAGGTTCTGTCAGCTACCTGTTTCCATTCCCTGAGAGGATTGGCTGTGCTATTAAAAGAGATGCCTTGACCTCCAATCTCAGACACAGCTGTACACACACCGACATCCATCCCATCCTGATAGAAGAATCACCCTCCATCTTCTTGTACATCTTCTTTCCTCAGACGAGCCTCACATATCTCCATGTGATTTGACAGCTGTACTAGCCCCACCTGCATCTGGGGTAAGGGCTGTGTAACTGTTTGAAGGAATTTTGTGGAGTCTGTCATTGTTATATGCTATTAAGTCAGAACCAACTCGTAGCTGACCCTCCAGCAGGTTTTCAGAGTAAATTGCACAGGAGGGCCAAGATCTTACACTATTCCTCTTTTCTGATTCCACCTTCTTCTCTACTCTAGACATCTTGTCATGGGAATAGTATGGATCTGGGTTCCTCTACTTCCTGATAAATGCCTTAGTACTTACTTTTTGGCACATTTGAGCTATTCTGTCCATTAATATTCTGTGCCATAAAATGTGTGGTACCTTAACTAGGCACTTTTGGAACTAGTTGAAGTACATTTTCCTTTGATATATATTTGCTATTAATATAACCACAGGGGAAAAAAAGGCCACTGAAGTCAATAAAATTTTATGGAAAAATGATAGAGTTAACTTGCAAAGTGTTTCTAAATCTTTGGTTCATGCTGTTAATTTGCTCTGTCTGACCATTTTTCATGAAGTTGAACAATGTCCCTCAGTTAACCATTGTTTCTGAGGACCCTGTGTACAACCTGCAGCTTTTCAGAAAGGGGGTTTTTTCCTCTGATTCTGAAAAGAATAGTGATCCTAGTCTGTGTTCTTTGACATTGCTATTAAGACAGCACGAGAGGCAAGGGACCAGAGACAAGGGACCAGGCAAAGGAGGTATCAACGGGAGGAAGGCAGGGGAACAGGAGCATGACTTATGATCACACTAGCTTACTTCAGAAGTTCATCATCTTTCCTTGGGATCCTAATACAAACTGCTATGAAGTTAATAGAAAAGTGCCCTGATAATTGTTATCCTTCTTTCATCAATGCATGCATATTCTTATTGAAAGCATTCAAGTTAATATTTATGGGAAACTGTGCTAATTATGATCTTTGAATAATAATCATCTTTGAAGGGAGCTCCGGGGGCTTCATGGTAGGAAATTGCGAGGTTCTAATTCATCAGCTGCTCCACAGGAGGATGGACAATCTCCTCCTGTGCATCAACTGCCTCTGAAAACCCACAGTAGAGTCAGCTACGGGTCAGTTCTGACTTGACGGTACACAACAATAACATTCTTTGAAATCCTATACAAACTGCTGCGAAATGAATAGAAATATGGCCCAGATAATTATTTTCTTTCTTTCATCAATGCATGCATCTTCTAATTGAAAACATTCAAGTCTAATATTTACTAGAAACTGTGCTAATTATCATCTTTGGATTTGTCTTTTTCTTGTCAGTAGGTAAGAGAGTCTTCCAATTAATGTTTTTGTTTTGTAAGGCAAGAGAATAATCTCAAATCACAAGGAATGATGATGAGACAGTTTTTAAAAAGTTTTTTTTAGCTGGTTTTGTTCATAAAATTCACTGTGGAAAAAAAATTGCAGTGAAGAGGTTTTTGCACTATGCTTCCTATTTCCTGATTCCCATGTATCCCTCTCTCATTAGACCTATCGTGACCCTTCTAATTTAGGTATCTTCTGTTTATCTTCAGATTGTAGCTTTTCACCACTTATTTGTAGAACCCTTTCTCAAAGTTTCCGCTATATGAACTTATATTCTAGATAGAAAGATAGTGAGAGAACTCAGATGGCCTAATAGATATAGATATTCTATCTACATTTATATATCTGGTGGTCTATAATTCCAAAAGTATCTGTTTAAATGGACCAGCTGCTATATGAGTGAAGGAAGGGCAACCTCCCCCCATACATTTTACTGCATCTGAAAACTCACTGTATGGTCAAAAATGGGCCAGTTCTGACTCAATGACTAACAACAACAGTATCTCTGGATATACATAGTTGTTTGTGTCATGTATTTTCCACATCTATGAAATAATTTGCTATAACAAAGTCCTTAGAGAATGTTTATTGAGTGAGTGAAAGGGAAACTGGATAGGATAAGCTATCTAACTTCACGGTTGTATGATTTTAGTAATTAAATGTATCAGCTCTGAGTTGACCAGAGGGGTAACATAAGCAGAATATTAGATAGATGTAGATAATGCAGGAAAGATGAAGAACTGTCTTTTTTCCCAAGTGCTTCCTCCTCCCCATCCAACTGTAACAGATGCTCATTCACAAAGATCATACTAATAAATACTACTCCTCAAACCTCACATCACTATTCCTCACCACTTCAACTCCTCTTCCCCAGTACTGCTTTCCAAATTCAGGATTCAACAGGAACTGTATCTTCCCTGGAGAGTTAGGCATATCTGCTTTCCACAGTCTTGCTGTGACTCTCAGTGACACAGAGGCTTTAAGTCACGCTTTCCTCTTTCATAGTTTAATCATTTTATCATATGTTCTAATCACAAACACTTTGCACACTTTTCCTGTTATTTTTTCCAGTTTCTTCACCAATTGTAAATAGGCAAATATCTTTTGCACTGTTCCTACAGGTTTACCGTGTGATCCAGAATTTGCTTTTAACCAGAGTAGCAGTAGAATCATCAAGGATGAAGAATACAAAAGTGAACAAGTGATCCAAGACCCTATCAGTTCCTCTGTTGAGGATGATATCAACAATAATGAGAGGTGGGAGTAAAGATACATATAACAACTAGTTGAAAATATGTCAAAGACTTACGAATAGCAGTTTTTAAACTGATTTGGAATTCTTAGTACATTTTAAATAAAGAACTATTTTGATTGTAAAATTATGTCTTCTATATTTTATTTCTGTTAGGAAAGAGAAACTTATTAAAAAAGTAGTTGCTTGGATTTGTTGTCTTCTATATCACATTTTAAAAGATTTATAAATTGTTTGCTACTACTGGTAAATCTGTCTCCCACTTATCTGGTGCTTTATTGTAATTCAGTAAAAAAGCATGAAATTCAGGAATCAGAAGATGAAACTTAACTAACTGATAAGAGTTGACAATATCATTCAATGAGATTCTTGTTCACCACTTGACAGTGAACTGGAACGATATAAAGTTGCTTGCATACCACAGTAAGGATTTCACTGAAAATCCATCTGTGTATAGAAAGCTAATTGAACCACACAGAATGGAATTCTGGAACTCCACCTTGGGAAGTGATTTCATTTTGGTGGGAATTCTGAATGACAGTGAGTTTCCTGAACTGCTCTGCTCCATATTCTTAGCCTTGTACACAATGGCCCTGACCAGCAATGGCCTGCTTCTCCTGGTCATCGCAATGGATTCCCATCTCCATGTGCCCATGTACCTCCTGCTTGGACAGCTCTCTCTCATGGACCTCCTCTTCACATCTGTTGTCACTCCAAAGGCCCTTGTGGACTTTCTGCACCAAGAAAACTCCATCTCCTTTGGAGGCTGTGCCCTTCAGATGTTCCTGGCACTAACATTGGGTGGTGCCGAGGACCTCTTGCTGGCCTTCATGGCTTATGACAGGTATGTGGCCATTTGTCATCCTCTGAACTACATGGTCCTCATGAGACCAAGGGTCTGCTGGCTCATGGTGGCCACTTCCTGGATCCTGGCATCTCTGAGTGCTCTGTGTCATACTTTGTATACCATGCACTTCACTTTCTGCAAGTCCCGAGAAATCAGACACCTGCTTTGTGAGATTCCCCCTCTGCTGAAGCTGGCCTGTGCTGATACTTCCAGATATGAGCTCATGGTGTATGTGACAGGTGTGGTTTTTCTCTTGCTTCCTCTCTCTGTCATTGTTGCTTCCTATATGTTAATACTATTGACTGTACTCCGTATGTCCTCAAATGAGGGGCTACAGAAAGCTCTTGTCACATGCTCCTCCCACCTAACTGTGGTTGGGATGTTCTACGGGGCTGCTACATTCATGTACGTCCTTCCCAGTTCCTATCATAGCTCAAAACAGGATAATATCATCTCTGTTTTCTATACCATAGTTACTCCAGCTCTAAACCCTCTCATCTACAGCCTTAGAAATAAAGAGGTTATGGGGGCCCTTAAGAGGGTTTTGAGAAAATACATGTAGTCATCATCCTCCAAACTCTAGGCCAGGTTCATAGCTTTCCTTTCTCCATTCCTTCAAATAAGAGGATAACTGCTGTGAAGCATGCATTTAAAGCCATCGGTTGCATTTGCTGCTAAGTTAATTATAATTCATATAGCCTCATTTTCGAGGTTGTGGCCTCTTGGAAACAGATTACTAGGTCTTTCTTCTGGAATGTCTCTGTTGAGTTTGAAAGCTCAAAATTTCCATTAGTAGCTCAGCACCTAAACTTGAATTGATTATTTAACCCAGGGGTGAGGCCACTATAATAGGGTCAAGGAATTACAAATGTAATAGGTCAACCAATCTTCAATATTTTTTTTTACACTATCTAAGATGGCACATACACACACATTTTAACATTTCTTTTCTTCTATTTATCTTATAACACTGGGATCTTAAGTTTCACTTACCTGAGATATTTAATCCTGTCCTTGGAAGCTCATATTATATAATTAACTGCATAATGAAATACACTCAGTAGGTACCTTCGAGTCATTGCGTTTACTGCATGACCCTCACATAATTTTTGCATAGACATGATATGAGATTATGTTTAACATACAAAACTGAGAAAAATGAGTAGTTCTAGAATGGCTCTTCTCCAGTACCCTCTTAAAATCAAAAGAAATTTGCTACCCTTTGTACTGAATTTAAGAAAAAGAAAAATGTGTAGAGATAAGGAGCCTCAGAAACATGTTCAGCTTTTTCTTCACTTGAACGTTGGTTGCCTGAGCACTTAGTAGAAAGGATAATGGATATTCACCTGCATTTAGATTCCAGATCTCAGAATCAGTTCATAATCATTACAAAAACAAACATCTACACCAAAAGAGTAAAAAAATCCAACCAAACACCAAAACCAACACAAAAACTCATTGTTCTCCTGGCAATTCCAACTCATAGCGAGACTGTTGAATTCCACTGACGGCCATAAATCACAGCAGGAGGAGACTGGTCACTTTTCTCAAGCAGAGCCACTTACTGATGGATTAAAACTCCCACAGCCGGGCAACCTTTGGCTTAACTTGGCATCTCACACTAGACTATGGGTCAAAGCTCCTTTATCACTGGGATAGTAGAAGAGGCTAAAGAAATGTAATCTAAAATTTTTACAGAGCCATTTTAAAATGGGACATTTCACTCTCGTGGAACTAGATAGGACAGGGGCCAGATTTGTTGTTCATGGAATCGCTATGAGTCATAGTCAACTCAACAGCACCTAACAACAAAAAAATTAAAATATAATGTGAAAATATCTAGATTTTAAATGACAATTAGAGATACAATAAAAGTAGGGGAAATCTGATAATAGTACTTTAAATGGGGGAAAATGTGATTTTTTTAAATTGCTTATCTAACATTTCAATTTTGTAACAATAGTAAAAAAATGTACGATTTATTATTTTGTATATTAGTAACAAAGTCTGATAGTACCAGATTAGAATGGTGCTGGTGATTTTGGTTAAAATTATGGCAAAGAACAGTTAAAGCACATTGGCAAAAATATGAATAAGTGGAGCAGTCTTAGAAAATTTAATTTTAAATGACTTTATAATATTCCACCAAAGGAGACCAATGTAACATAGTTAGACTTTTTCTTACATTTAGTTTTGTTTGCCCACATTTCCTTATACGGCTTAATTCTTTAAATTTCTAAATGTGAAATTACTGAGGTAAAGAGAAAGAATCCACTGAAGGTTCTTGCTATAAAGCACAAAATTGTATTCCATAGATCTTAGAAACACTTCGTATTCTGGATAGCATTATGTGGAGTGTCTTCCTCAGTGCATTATTTCTTTTTTTAAATATACATTCATTTTTACTGATCACTGTTCTTAATAGTTAAAAGGCAGAAGCAACCCAAATGCTTATCAATAGATGGATGGATAGACAAGATGTATAATATATTTATACAATGGAACACTATTCAACCTGCGGTAGAAATGAGATCCTGATATGTGATACAGTATGGATGAAGTTGGAAGATATTATGCTGAGTAAAACAAGTTAGTCACAGAAAGGTAAATATTGCATAACACATAATGAAGAGCTTGCTGCAGAAGGTCAAAGACTGCAGCCTTAAATATGGATTGAAGCTCAACCTCAAGAAAACAAAGATTCTCACCATTGGGCTGATTGACAGCATCATGGTAGAAGGTGAAGTGATGGACATTGTTGACAGTTTCAGTTTGCTTGGCTCCACAATCAAAACTTTTGGTATTAGCAGCCAGGAATCAAAAGATGAATTGCCTTGGGAAAGTCAGCTGTCAGGAAGATCTCCAGATTACTGAGGAGCAATGATGTCAATTTGGAGACTAAGGTGTGCCTGATCCAGCATGTAGTCTTTGCAGTTACTTCCTGTGCATCAGAGGGCTGGATAAGGCAAGGAATGGTAGAAGAAGAATTGATGCCTTTGAGTTGTGGTGCTGGAGAAGAGTATTGGGTATATCATGGACTGGTAGGAAAACAAACAAGTTCATCCTTGAAAGAATGAAGCCAGGCTGCTCTTTGGAGGCAAGAATTCTGAAGCTCCATCTGGCCTACTTTGGACATGTTGTGGACATGTTGCAAGGCAAGACCAGTCAGTCCTTGGAGAGGGACGTCATGCTTGTGAGGGTGGAGAAACAGCACAAGAGGAAGACCTTCAATGAGATGGATTGATTCAGTGACTGAGGTAATAGGAGTAGATGTGTCAGAGACAATAAGATTGGCACAGGATAGAGTTGGGTTTAGAATTGTTGTATATAGAGTCACTCTGAGTCACAGGCGACTCGACAGCATATAACAAACAACAACATATTGTAGATCTATCTATCTATCTATCTATCATCTATCTATCTATCTATCATCTATCTATCTATCTATCTATCTATCTATCTATCTATCTATCATCTATCTATCTCTCTATCTATCATCTATCTATCTACCTATCTATCATCTATACATCCATCTAAATAAATGGATGAATGAATGAAACCTTTCTAAAACTATCGTTGTTTCTCCAAGTTCATAGAGCTGCCAGAGGCATACGGTTTAGGAAGGGGATGCACTCCTGCTTCCAAACCTGAATCAATATGGGAGCTCCACCAAACACTGCCCATGATGGGTAGCCGTTATGGTGTTTGACACAGCTATGGTACAGTTGTTCCGCATCACAGCAACTCCAAGTTACTTCAGCACAGCAAATAGACAGACGACTGCTGTACCACTTAAAA